AGTGAGAATGAGAATGTTGCTGTTAACTCCAGTAAAATTGACAAAAGCTCGTTGTTTGATGTTCCTGTCATAGTAGGCCCTAGTATATCTTCATTGCCTAAGGCTAAGTCCATTAGTGGTGGAAGTACCTCTAAACTTCCCTCACTTAGGACAGTTAAGGTGCAAAGAAGTAGTGCTAGGGACAATATGCTAGTTGATGTCAATCTGCTTGCTGAAAGTACCCTCTCTCACATAAAACATAAAAAGAAAAGAACTTTGCCCTTAGAAGAATACAGTACCCTCTCTTACCCCTCTCGAAATAAAAAAGTCAAAATATCTGAACCGATTCTTTCAACAGACCTGACAAAAACCCAGCAGTCCAACATGGTGGAGGCAATCAGCCACAACTGGTCCCCTAGTTTAAAATGAAGGTTGGGGTGTGGAATTGTAGAGGTCTGGGAGGGCCCTCTACAATTTCCCAGCTCAAGGAGACCTTAAGGTCCCACCTTCCTGACTTTCTTTTTCTCTCTGAAAATAAAAAATCAAAATGTTTTGTTAACTCCGTCTATAAAAAGCTTAAATGGCACGACAGATGGTTTTTTGTGGAGCCTGAAGGCACTAAAAGGGGGATTTCTTTTGTATTGGTCCCCTAAAATTGAAATCATAACGATAGTAGGTTATCATTTTTGTATAGAAGTTTGTTTTAAGTATAGCCAAAGCAGTGATCCTCATTGGGCCATTTTCATATATGCCAATACAGACCCAAATTTTAGAGAAGCCTAGTGGAATTTTCTCTCTTCTCTTAAGCCTAGATGGGGTAATTTGGGGTTCATGGGTGGTGACTTCAATGCTATAATGTCCAATTCTGAGAAAAAAAGAGGTTGCCTTAGGCATGTAGGGAGTTTTTCTAGCTTCTTATCCTTTATTAGTAGATTAGGTATTGTAGAGATCATGTTTAAGGGGCGCCCTTTCACCTGGACTAATAATAGGAAGGGGAAAGACCTTATTGAAGCTAGGCTAGACATATTCTTCTCATCTCCTGATTGGGCTCTTAAATTCCCCAAAGCTGAAGTTCATCATATCCCTTTTTTTTCCTCAGACCACTGCCTGTTACTGATGGATGTTCTTGGTTCTGAATGCAACAAGAAAAAAAGATTCTTCGTTGATTCCAGATGGGTTAGCTGTGAGGGGTTTACAGAAATTGTGAAAAATGCTTGGTCTATGGATAATCAGGGCACTGATCTTAACAGTCTTCAAAGTAGAATTAAAAAGGCCAGAATAGAACTCCTCAAATGGAAAACAATCCAAATGCCCAATTCTAGTAAGCAAATCAGAACTCTGAAAGAGAAACTCTCTGTTTTAAACTGGCAAGGAGAATCCAAAAATTGGAATGAATGGGATTCTGTTAAGTCTCAACTGTACAAAGGCTACAGAGATGAGGAAATATATTGGGTACAGAAAGCTAGAAATTTTTGGCTTAAGAAAGGAGACAAGAGCACAGGTTTCTTTCATGCATGTGTCAAGCAAAGGAGAAGAACTAACTGCATTGAGAGCCTTGTAAACAGCAGGGGGCAGAAATGTGAGAGTAAGGAGGAGATCCTCAAAGAAGTGCAGCAGTTCTTCTCTGATCTGTACAGAACCTCAAATCCCATTAGGGAGAGTTGCAGTCTGCAGGGAATTCCTTGTTCCATCACAAAGGATATGAACAACATATTGACAAGATATGTGGACTTGGAAGAGATTAAGAAAGCTCTCTGGGAAATGCACCCAAACAAGGCTCCAAGAGTTGATGGTATGACCCCACATTTTTACCAATCTTCTTGGGATACTGTCAAGCATTCTTTATTATCTGCCATTCAACATTTCTTAAACTCTAGTTTTATGCCCCAACATACTAATCATACTGTTGTCACCTTAATACCAAAGAAGCAAAACTCTGTCTCACTCTCTAATTTTCGCCCTATTAGGTTATGCAATGTGTCTTATAGAGTGATTTCCAAAATCATTGCAAACAGACTAAAATCTGTCCTTCATACCTGCATTAGCCCATCTCAGGTTGCATTTGTCCCAGGAAGGCAGCTCATTGATAATTTTGTGCTAGCTAATGAATGTATCCATTTTCTAAACAGCAAAGATTTGGTTCTGAATGTTTCAAGGCCCTTAAACTTGATATAGCAAAGGCATTCGATAGGGTAGAATGGTCTTTTTTAGCTGCCATCTGTCGGAAAATGGATTTTTGTGATCTTTTCTTATCTTGGATCCTTGCTTGTATATGCTCTTCCTCTTTCTCATTTAATATTGATGGCTGCCCCTCTGGTTTTGTCAAGCCATCTCGAGGTATTAGACAGGGAGATCACTCTCTCCTTACCTGTTCATAATACTCTCTGAAGCCCTCTCTAACCTTTTAACACAAGCTGAACTTTCAAACTCTTTTCAAGGCATAAGAATCATCAAACTTTCCCCACCTCTAGCCCACCTCTTCTTTGCGGACGATTCCATTATTTTCTGCAAAGCTGATATTTTTCATGCCTATTCCATTGTTCAAATTCTTGAAGCATATGGCCTCTCTTCTTGGCAGCAGGTCAACTATAAAAATTCTTCTGTGTTTTTCTCAAAAAACTCAACTCCTGAAACTATTGTTGAAGTGTGCTCACTGATTCCTGGAATTTCTGTAGTAAAATCATCTAGATACTTAGGATTACCCCTAGGATTAGGTAGGTCTAAAAAGGAAACTTTTGATTTTGTGCTATCCAAAGTAGATCAAGGACTTAGCAACTGGAAAAATGTATTTCTCAGTGAAGCCGGCAAAGAAATCTTATTGAAAACAGTCTTGGGCTCTGCCCACTTTTGTCATGTCATGCTTTAAATTGCCTAAGTCCATTTGCCAAGCCATTTGCAGGAAATCAACTTCATTTTGGTGGGGAGTGAAGGATGATGGGAGTGCTAAAATTCACTGGGCCTCTTTGGCCAAACTGGCTCTACCAAAAGAGGAAGGCGGTCTCGGTTTCAAATGCCTGACCTCATTCAATGAAGCACTATTGGCAAAACAACTCTAGCGACTGATTCAACAACCAAATCTCCTCATGACCAAAGTACTAAAAGGAAAGTATTTTCCTTCTTCTTCTCTATTTGAGGTCAAGCATAAGTCTTCAGATTCATAGCTTTATAGCTCGTGGATGCGGGTAAGAGATTTGCTGAAGGTGGGGTTCGCACGACAGATTGGAGATGGAACTGACACTCTTCTATGGTCTAACCCTTGGTTGTCCAGTGCACATTGTCACACCCCGGCAGTCCAATTCCAAATGGACTTATTATCTCTCAGAAGGGTGTGTGATCTTTTTGATAGCACAGGTAGGGACTGGGACAGAGAATTAGTATCTCAGACTTTTTCACCCAAGGATGCTCAGCTGATTCTGAAAACACACCTAGTCAGGGGGGATTCCAAAGATAAATGGATTTGGAGATTGGAAAAATCTAGTACTTTCACTATAAAATCTGCTTACAAAGTGTGCTTAAAGCTCAGAACAGATACTCTCAACCAACCTGAATCCAGTTCCTTATCATTTGCTCTCTCTCGCATGTGGAAAAAGACTTGGTCTTTAAAAATAAAACCTATAATAAAAAACTTCATATGGCTCTGTTGGTACAAATACCTTAGCACTTCTGATCAGCTAAAGAACAGGATAGGGATCACAGACTCCATTTGTAACATATGTGGAGAATCAGAGGAAACCATGGAACACATTTTCTTCCAATGCAGTAGAGCAGTGACAGTTTGGAAGCTTGTGGGACTAGAATGGAATGGAGTGCAGAGCCTAACTATGTCGTTCAATGTACGGTGGCAAGATTTATGCCTCTCGAAATCCGTAGCATATATCACCGATCGTTTGAGCCTCTCTTCGTATATTTTATGGTGGCTATGGAAAACGCGAAATTGTTGGGTATTTAGCAAAATTTGGAAAAGCGAAACAGAAATAGCGAGAGGAGCTCGTAGTGAGTGGCTGGATTTTGAGCTGTTAAATTCATCAGATTGTTAGTTCGTTTGGGTTTTGCTGCAGTGATCTTTGTTTTATTTTTAGCGAGGTATTCTATTTTGCTGGCCTCCTCTGTAGGCTGTTTTCATGACAGCAGTGCAGATTTTCGGTTGCCTTGGCCTCGAGCTTTTGGGTGGCTGTGCTTCTCTGTTGGTATTTTGGACTTGGTTTTTTTTGATGTTTTGCCAAAATTTCTAATTGTTGATGTTTTGCTTTAGTTTCTAGTTCAGCTTTTGCTTAGGTCTGGTGTTTTGTTTTTGGTTGGTCTCTTTGTGCAGTTATCTGTTTAGTTTACTGGGAATTGTTTATCCCTTTCCTACTTGCTTGTGGTTCATGAGCAAGGGTAGTTTGTACATGTTGTGTAACCCGTACATTGTAACTTCATTTCATTTATATCATTCAACATTTCGGAAAATAAATAAATAAATAAATAAATAAATAAAAGACTCAATCACGAACTAGTCATAACATAACGATCAAAATCAAACGGATCCTAAAATTCAAACTTCTTGAAAATATCATAATGATTAGGCATAGAAGCGCAAATACTTAGGTGCGCCCTGGCACACCTTGCTAGGTGCGTCCTGGCACACCTTGGTAGGCTAGTGTGCCAGAGCCTTTTGTGAAATACAACTCCTTCAAAAGCGCGTGAGGTAAGGAGGTAGAGTATTTTTTTCATGTCCCATTTCTATGGGGTAATGAATTTCATATATCATATTATATAAATTAAATTATCATTCATATTTTGTATCAAAAAATAAAAATAAAAATACCAAAATTCATAATTTTTCATTCTCTACAAATAGAGACCACATTTGATATTTTTTGGAACACAATATATTTATCATTTTTTACAATTAATTTATCTTATTGGAAGATTATGACGCAAATCTATAATTAGATGAACATGTTACATATTAAGATGAACAGGTTATAGAGTAAGATGAACATGTCATATAATAAGATGAAAATGTTACATTTTCACAGATGAAATTTAGATGAACATGTTCTAAAATAAGATGAACATGTTACATAATAAAATGAACATGTTATAGAATAAGATGAACATGTTACATAATAAAATGAACATGTTATAGAATAAGATGAACATGTTACATAACAAAATGAACATGTTATAGAATAAGATGAACATGTTACATACACAATAAGGTGAACATGTTACATAATAAAATGAACATGTTATAGAATAAGATGAACATGTTACATAATAAAATGAACATGTTACATACACAATAAGGTGAACATGTTATAAAATAAGATGAATATGTTACCAAAATGAGATGAACATGTTATAAAATAAGATGAATATGTATTATTTCAATCTGCAATCTGTAACATGTTCATCTTATTTGAAAACATATTCATCTTGTTATGTAACATGTTCATTATATGTCAGTATAATAAAATAATTACGAAAAAATGAAAAATTAATGTACTCAAAAACCTATCAAATGTGGTCTCTATTTGTAGATAATGAAAAATTATAAATTTTGGTATTTTTATTTTATTTTTTTAATATAAATAATTAATAATATTTTAATTTATGTAATATGTCTCATTTTTCAATTAAAAAAAGAAAAAAAATGTGCACTACATTCTCTAAATTTTCTAGTTTTTTAGAGTGAGAAGACGCGTGCAAATTTGTTCTGGTACACCTAGCACGATAGTACTATTTGCATAGAAGAATCAATGTTTGTAAATAAAAAATAAAATATTAAATTTTACTAAGGACATACGTTTTAGTTTCTATCAAATGCTATAGGAACCTAGTGCTCACATACAAGTTAAATCAATCATTATTCTCCCTCAATCATACAACTACACGCACAATAATAAAATTAAAATGAAAATGTGCGTCTTATCCACTCCCTTGTTAGTCTGCCACCTCACCATTTTCCAGAATCCACCTCATCCGATGTTCGCCATTTTTTTTATAGTAGGGCGATTCATTTTTTTTTTTTTTGATCGTTAAGGCGATTCATTATTTTAATACTTAAACAAAATGAGTCTTTTTTAACTGTGTTCTTGATTAAGTCTTGTTTAATTATGAATTGGGTTTGATTTTACTCAACTAGTTAGATTTAATTTTTTTTTTTTTATATTTTCTAATACTAATAAAAAATTGAGCATTAACTCGATTACTCTAATTTATTAGGCCATCTCCAATTTTTATCTCTAGGACTTTTTCATGAAATTAGCCATAGGTGTCTCACAGCATTGTTTCAACTTCACTCACCACCAATCCACAATCAGTCGAAATGAAAACCTCACTTCAGCAAACCCTCTCTTTCTTGTTCATCCTCAATTCTGTGCTATCATCGTTTCCACCACCCCAAGCCGCCGCCGCCGCTGACGGCGGTGCCACCATAGCTTTTGCAACCGTAGGTAGATCTAGCTACGCCTTCGACATCTACGCTCTCCCCACGTACGGCCGATCGATAGAAACCCGCCTGACCGACGGCAAATCCGTCAATTTCAACGGCTACTTCACCTCGTCGGAATCCTTCTCCATGCTCCCGATGATGCCCAATCGATCCGACCCGACGACCCATGTCCTCTACGTCTCCGAACGAAACGGGTCGTCGGGAATTTACCTCGATGCGCTCTTCGAGACCCGGGTTTCACGAACCGGGTCAAGGTCCATACTTGAGTCGCCGACCGAGTCGTCTCGGTTTCAGGTTCCTTTGGTTGGCGACGAGGAAACCGGTGGCCGGATCTCGATGAAGGACAGGCCGAGCTTGGTGGGTCCTAATTTGATCTACGTTTCGACCCACGAGGATCCGGGCGTGCCCCGGGCAAGCTGGAACGCAGTCTACTTGACTCACCTAGTGACCGGGTCGACTCGGCGTCTGACCCCGACAGGGGTGGTGGATTTCAGCCCCGCCGTATCGCCTTCTGGGGTCTGGACGGCGGTGGCGTCGCTTGGGGAAAAGGGTTGGGGCGGGGAGATTCAAGAACTCGAAACAGATATTTACTTGTTCCTAACTCAAGACGGGTCGAAACGGGTCAAGATCATTGAGCACGGCGGGTGGCCCAGCTGGGCCGATGATTCAACTATTTACTTCCACAGAAGGTGCGAGGACGGGTGGTGGAGTGTTATTAAGGCGTCTTTCAACACAAAATATGGTAAACTCGGTGTCGACTCGGTGGTGACTCACCGTATCACCCCACCTGGTCTGCACGCCTTCACCCCAGCAGCTTCTATAGCCAACAAGAGCTTCATAGCATTAGCCACGAGACGACCCGGATCCGAATTTCGCCACATAGAACTCTACAATTTAGCCTCCAAAAAGTTTACCCATGTGACCCGACCCGTTTCACCAAATGCACACCACTACAACCCCTATATCTCGCCCGACTCAAGTCGGGTCGGGTACCACCGATGTAGGGGCGCAAGCAATGACGAAACGGGTCATCATAATAATTTCGTACTCGAGAATGTTCGGAGCCCGTTGCCCAACGTGTCTTTGTTCCGGGTCGACGGGTCGTTCCCTTCGTACTCCCCGGACGGAAAACGGGTCGCCTACGTGAAATCCCCGGGCCTATACGTGATGAACAATGACGGGTCGGGCCTCCGAACAATTCTTACCCAACCCGCCTTCTCGACCGCATGGGATTGGAAGAGGAAAGGAGTTGTCTACACGAGTGTGGGGCCCACATTTGCGAGCGAGGGCACAAAAGTCGACATAATATCGATCGACGTCGACAATGAGGACCGAAGCTACAAACAACTAACCCTAGGAGGCGAGAACAACGCGTTCCCTTCACCTTCGCCGGACGGGAAATGGGTCGTGTTTAGATCGGGCCGAACGGGCCACAAAAACTTATACATAATGGATGCTATAAACGGTGAATCGGGCGGGCTCTACACGTTAACCGAGGGCCCGTGGACCGATACAATGTGCAATTGGTCGCCAGATGGCGAGTGGATCGCGTTCGCCTCGGATAGGGAGAATCCGGGCTCGGGTAGCTTCGAAATATTCAAGATCCATCCAAATGGCACCGGGCTCGAGAAGGTGATCAAGAGTGGTTTTGGCGGGCGGGCTAACCACCCGTGGTTTAGCCCGGATGGGAAGCACATAGTGTTTACCTCGGATTACGCGGGAGTTTCTGCAGAGCCGATTTCGAACCCACACCATTACCAACCGTATGGTGATATCTTTGTGATCGAGTCGGATAGGTCGGGTATTCGGAGATTGACCCACAACTCTTACGAGGATGGAACCCCTGCTTGGAGCCCTAAATTTACGAGGCCCTATAATGTCGAGTGTCCCATGGAAAGGCCCAAGTGTTCATTTGATGATTGTTATTGGCTTAGGGTAAGGTCTAATGAGGTATTGGGTTCATCCAAGAGGCAGTGTGCTGAGTGAGAGGCTATGTGGGTTCTTCACTTCTTTGTACCAAAACTTGCTTGTAAAAAGTTTTGTTATTATAATATGCAATAATGTGCCTTTGGCTATAAGGTTTGGCTTGGTATATCAACTATAAATTTTAGGTGAATGTACACTGTTTGTTAATTCCTTTTTCTTTTGTGTTCATTTAAATTTCCTTTTCCAAGACATATTCATTGATTAAACGGAGAACAAGACTGAAAATTGGAAGAAAGTAAAACTAGGATAGATCTCTGGAAAAATTAGCACTAAGGCTGTACATGATCTGCTGCTGTTTAAGGTTTAACCTCTAAGCCAACTGAACTAAAAGACGCTCGGGTACAAGATTTTAAGGGGGCGGCCAAATCAAGCATAAAATCCTAATTCCAATTACAGCCCCCATTTTCTCTTCATGCCCTGGTTTCGGCACTAATCCTCGATCAATGGAAAAATGATCAGCCAACTTCTGGTAGCCAGCAGCAGTTGAAATGCAGAGAAGAAAAAAAAAAACCCATCCAACTGAGCATTGGAAAATAACACGAGATTCAGGCTAACTGCTAATGTTGTGGAAGTATTCTGAAGGTATTGATGGAGGACAGTACTTCTTTGCCACAAACTTGTACTGTTTCAAGCGAAAAAAACGTTGAGTTAATTTCAGTTGTATAAAAAAAATCTGAACCCTGCAGAAAACACAAAGAAATTTGGCAATTTCAATATGTTGAGATGTTACTACTAAAGACAAGTTTAAACACACCTTGTGCTGACTGTACTTCTCTCTTATGGCAGGCAGACTAGAATTGTGGTTATTACAGCAAAGCCCGTGTAATGCCATGACACAGTCGCGTAAATCGTGTGGCTGGTAGAGCGTGTAATGATGCAAAGTAGAATTCTGCATTTTATTAACAAGTAAATCAATTTGTGGTCTAAGGCAAAAACAGACTGAAGAAAGAATTTGGCCAAGAACATACCCAGGGCTTTTTAGCAGGTAGAAGAATGAATTTGGCCAAGAAAATCGAAGATGCTGCTATGACCGATGGTGCATAACATAGCATACTGTACTCCAGAATAGATAACTCGGCAATGTAATTGGCCAAGCACTCGAATTGCAGTAAAGGAGCCTGAAAAGACAGCCACAATATTTTATACAATTTAGACACGGACTCCAAAAAAATAAGTAAAACAGAATCATGGGATAAAGAAAATGAGGTTGTTCGATAAAGATCATACCTCATTGAGACCTTGTGCAGCAGCGCGAACAAACCTCCTATGAAAAGTTTCAGTAAAATAGATAGTGAGTATTAACAACTCATTCTGAGATAAGGTTTAATGATACAAAATAAATTATTACCTCAAGAAACATTTGACTGTGGGTGCTGTCATTTCGAATTTTAGGTAATTCAAGACATCAGACTCCATTTGAAGAACCTGAAAAATTTGAACTTCTTAGGATTTTCTGCAGGTATATCCTACACGTATACTAAAGTAAATGCGCAGAAAGAAATAGAAAAAATGAAATTACCTCCTCCTTGAAATATGTGTTATCAGTTATGTAGCAGAATTCTTCCACCTGAGGTGCACAAATCTCTTCATATTTTCTGCAAGTATGTAATTCATATTATTATACTCCCAGATCAAGAATTGTTGTCGCATCAGAGTATACACAATGATAATACACAAAACATTTCGAATAACAAACTTACGACGCAATCATCATGCAAGCCACACCAAGCAATTGCAATCTTTGCCTATCCATGACATTTCCAGAAAGATAACGGTCTATGTAGTTAACAGTTAGATACAATGTGTCAGGTACAAGTCTGTATTCCTCTGCTACCTGTGATTCCAAGTCGATATCAGATAGGAATAGTTTTCAATCAAATATGTAAACAGCACTCCAATAAACTAATGAAATATGAAAGCATTTCCCATGGCCATCCAAGAAAAAAGAAAGAAACAAAATTCAGCTCTACGAGATGTTACCTCAACAAGCCAATCAATAAGAATCGCTCGCATGCTGGGATTAATGTCTTTTTGCACTCTTTCCATGAAGTTAATGGCTGGTCTTTTCTTTACCTGGAGACAAATAGACAAATTAATCAATGCATAAAAATAGTAAACCAATTTAAAGGCCCTATACAACGAGTCTTGTAACTTGTAAGAGACAAAGGCTAAAACAGTTCGGAACACAAAAGAATAAAATACGAACCTCAGAAGCTCTTAAGTGCTTGTAGATATCACACGCGATGGTCGCACATAACTGTGGGTCATCCAAATTCTCATCAATATCCACAATCTTTTTGTCTGATTCTATTGCTGCTAAAACATCACGCTTGCACATGTTCTCTGAAAACATCAAGGACCAAATCAACTTACATTTCGAGCTATGGGAATAGCACAAGTACATAAAACATTTGTCGAGAGTACAAAACCTGCAATTTCCTCGTGCTTCGAAATGCAAAGGATGTTGGACGCCTTCCGCTCGATGGAATCAACTGCAGCTATATCAAGGCTATCCATATATTCAACGTCTGGGCTCTTAAGGGAATCACAGGTGGACATAGATTCATCCATGGAAACAGAGAGTGAATCTGATTTATCAGGAGAAAGTTCAACACTGCATGAAACAGGGGCCACAACAGTCCTAGAGAGCACAATATCTCTCTTTGGCAAAGATGAAGCTTGGCCAACCAGAACCACATTGTGCTTTACAGAGGAAATTGGTGGCAGAGTAACCAAATTTGTTGATGTTGAAGGTCCCTTCTTAATGCTCACGATCTTCGTGGAACACGGCACCTGCAGAATTCAACTTTATCCGAATCAATTACATATTCTTTCACGTAAATATACAGCGTAGATAGATAGCAAATAACATGAAACTGCCTACAAATGCCCAAAACCAAAAATTAAGTCCAGAAGTCTTATTATGGCACACATTAAAATTCATTCCGTATTAGACATTATAACATTGCTTTATTAGAGATGAAATTGCTTTATTAGAGATGAAAAGTAATCACAACCACCAAATTATGTTTCAAGTAAAAGCAGATGCCCAGATAAAGCAATATATAAAATCATACATGCTAGGTTGAAAAAGGTGTTTAGTAGGCCATCTTTTCATTTACAAGGGGAAGCTCTAAATCTTGAATACAAAAATCGTTCAGGTTCTGTGTCCCTTATAAATAATTAAATATAACAGCAGAGTACATCAAGATAATCTGCAGATGTGTAAAATACAATTCAAACATTCAAATCAATTTCAGCCAATCTATCCTTCAGCCATATGAATCTTTTTTAGCAGCGGTTCAAAGTGGGAAGTGGCCGACAAATAAAAGGCAACTTCAAACATGTTTCACAAAAGATAAAGAAACCTACAGATGTATCAAAATTGTATCAGATTCAAATGGACACAATTTCCAGTACAATAATTTATGAAAAGTATATATCTGACCTAAAACAAAATAAAACCCACGTAAGAAACTGATCAATCTCCATCAAGAAGTGTTTATAACACGACATTTCACAAAACTAATTCGAAAAACCATGCACATAGACCCAAATATGAATCAAGAAAGTTCCAATAATACGGGATTTACGAACAAAGTCGAGGAAATTCATCAAAAACAGAGGGTTTTAACACCGAAATTTTTCATAACCGAAATTCCCTTTCTGCACGGACGAATTCAAAGGATTAAAGAGAAACACACACATGGATTAAAGAGAAACACACACATGCAACGAAACCATCTCCAATCTCCAAACCCTGAATTCAACACCACGAAATCAAACCCCGGGAAAACGTTAGTTACGAGTTCGGACATACAATTTTCGACGACTCCGGAACATGGGCCCGGCCCGAACCCTGATAAACGGCTCCATGCCTCTGGTTACTGATGTTAGCCAGCGCTGGCCGCTTCTTCGAGGCGGCGGCGGCGGCCGCCGCCTTCCCGGGATTCTCCGAAGCATAGGCGTGCCGCTTCGCCAAGGACGACGTCGTCGACCTCCTCGCCCCTGCAGCAGCACCCGCCATCGAACCAAGTAAAAAGAAAAAAGATAACGGCAAAGCGAAAATTGAAAATCGAATCGCTTCTCAGTAACCGAAATGGAATTACAGAGAGAGAGAAAGTGACGAAGGCCACCATTGCTTGTGGGGGTTTATTAAAGAGGGGTTACGATTTGAACTGCAGAGAGATCTGGACCGTCCGATTGTTTTTCGGGTATACGTTAGGAGCTTGCAGAGGTGGGCCCCACGGGAGCTGCCTGTTTGAATTGGGAACATTGGAGGGAAACCTGCGGGTCCGTCACGGACCAATGGGGAGTCGGATAGCTGAAAGGTGATTAACTGAGAAAGGAAACGACGCCGTGAGATTAGCAGAGAGGGCTTGGGGGCAATTTTGAATTCGAATTTTGATTTTTGAAGAGTATATCTTGGTATTTACTATTTAGGGTTGCGTACGGGAAATCAATGTGGTTTTTTTTTTGTTTTTTTTTTTTACTATTTCTTATTCCAAATTAAAGTACATTATTTACATGTGGACAATAATTTACTAATGTGACAAAATTTGGAATTTGGTATTGCATAACGGGATAATTTGAAATTTAGCATGTATAGATTGATTGATTGGTTAAATTTTAGTTGAAAATCAATTTGTCAATTCAATCTCGAGAGTATTTTGGTACTTCCTTCAATATCTTGTTATTATATTATTAGTACTTTTTTTTCACCATCACAGTTTTAATTTTTTTGAGGATACAGTGTAAGGAAATAGATAAAATCATAAAACCATAGGTTATATAAAAGACTGATCATGAAATTAATGAGCCCATGAGCCCAGTGTACAAGTTTCTACCATTTATAATACTAGTGTGTACCCAGGAACAATATTAAATTAACAATATTATAAATAGATCTCGAGTTTGAGTCAGCGGAAGTGGAAACTACTATTGATCCTATTTAAAAAGAAGAAGAAAAAAATAATTATAAATTAAAGAGAAGGATAAACAATACTTAATAATTATAAATTAAAGATTCGGGGTCAAACAATGTAAAATTATTTTGTATAAGAGAATATAAAAAAATTTGATTACACACCATTTCAATTATTATATTGTTTTGTATGGCTAGCTTATAATATTTGTAAAAATATTAGTAATTAAACCGATGAAAATTAGCTTCTTAAAGTAGATAATGGATTTTTAGTAGTAATTATGAATTGATTTTTATTTTATTTTATTTTTTCAAATCTCTATAGATAAGGGATGAGACGTGAGACTTATGCAATGAGATTTTGTAACAAAAGAGATAAGCTCGTGTAGATTTATACTAAAAATATGAAAAAGAAAAACAAATATTTATTGTCAAACAACGGTTTTGATAAACTAAAAAACAAGAAAAAAAGAAACAAATCTTTACACAATTAATGAGCCGATTTTTTTGCCTATTCAAATTTGTCCAACAATTACTATATGTAGGATATATTTAATAATTTTGGCGGGAAAAGGTTTCTAAATTTGTAAAAAGGTTATTCTTTTTATATAATGATAGATACCTATGCTATCAGAAATGTAATGTCGAGTTTAAATAGAGATGACACGTGAGATTATAAGTTTGAGTGTTACCTCTCATTTTTTTGTGTTCCACATATATCTTGTAGTTCATAAAAATTCAAATTATCTCCAAGTCTCCTATAATGAATATGTAACTATGTAAGAATGGGGAAAAACGAGTGCAATCCCACGCATGTGAAGTGCACCATAAACAGCGAAAATCCAGATGAAGTTCAAGTGGGGTTCTATCCCAAAATCAATTGGTGGTAGGAGGAGTTGCTCGTAAGCCTATTTTTTCTATATAAACGATGCGGGACAACTCACAAGTGAATATTCTAATAGGTCCTCTCACTTGTGAGTCCTTCATAAGAAGCTCAAGCTCATATATGAAGCTGGGTGTCCAAGCCCTACTAGAAACATGTTGGGACACGAGTACGTCATCGCATGGTCCCACATAGAACCGACTTTGATACCATGTAAGAATCGGGGGAAAAACGGATGGGACTCCTTCATGAGAAGTTCAAGCCCATATACAAAGCCGGGTGCCCGTGATCTAATTAATAATTTTAGAAAATCACTCGTTCTTGATTTTTTTTAACAAAAATATTCATTTTTATGCACTACTACTAAGTGTCATGTTTTATTTATACAAAATTTTTGCTCCTGAATTATGTGTATGGATTATGAGAATGACTTATTGGAGTCTCATTGACATTAGTGTTGTTAAAATAAATGAGCTTAGATTGGCTCGGCTCGTTAAGGCTCGAGCTCGGCTTGAGTTCGAGGCTTTAACGAGGCGAGCTCGAGCTCATTTAAAGCTCGATTAGCTCGATAAGGCTCGAAAATATAATTTTTATATAATTTTTTTATGGTTCAGCTCGTTAAAGCTTGAGATCGACTTGTTAAGACTCGAGCTCGAGACCTTAACGAACCGAGCTCGAGCTCGAATTTTGGCTCGTTTATTTAATGAGCCGTTTATTCTATATATTATTTTGACAAGGTATACATTAATAAAATTATATATTTGGTTAGCTAATTTTAAATTTTGATTTTATTGTTGTATTTGTATTTTTTTGTGCCAATATATTTCATGTATAGTAAAATATAACATAAACGGTTGGAGACGAGAGTTAAATTTTAGTATTCTTAAATTTTAGTATTCTATATTATGGAGTATATTAAACTCTACAATAAAGTAAAACAGAAGATTAAAGATGGTGTTAATAGAAGGCCTGAGCTCAACAAGCTAAAATAAGCCAAGACCGAGTGAAGGTTCATGAGTTGCACATCGATAATGCGAATCAAGGAGAGTTCTTCGGAAAGTTAAACAAAGAATATACTCTTGATACTTGGATTTGGAATTGAGTTTTTTTCAAGCAGAGCCTATCTCGATTCCTTAAGTTAATTGATAGTTTATCGACAAATATAACTTATAACTGATAGTTTATGACTTATTACTTAAAGTTTATCGGTATAATAAAAGTGTGATATTAGTTGATAAGTCCATTGAATTAAAAATTCTATGGGTTTATTTTTCTTTTATTTTAAGTTACAAAGACAAACTTATAAGATAAAGCTATTTAAAAAAAAATCCGTCTTATCAAACCAAGCTTACAAGCTAACTAAATAGACTATAAGTTTGTTTACTAAAGACAATGTTTGATAAATTTATGATACACTATTTGATAGTTGATAAGTGATTTTCAAACTTATAGATGATGACTGAAAATCTATTTGATGTGATTAAACTATTTGGTAAAATTAACTGATAAGTTAAGTGAATATAAAATTCAACAAGCTTATTTTAAAAAGATACTCAAAGAAATTTATGAGATAAACTCAATTTTTTTTTAAAAAAAAAAAACTCAGTTCTACCAAATCAAACTTATTTGCATACAAGATACTTATTATATAAACTGTCCAAATAAACTATAAGCTAGCTTATGATGCTTACCAAACACACTCTAAATATCCTCTAAATTAGCAGGTCGATAAATGAACTCCATATCACCTCGTTTAACTATATTAACAAACATAAAATTATATAAAGATTATATTTCGAGCACTAACTAAATGAGCTTTGAACAAATTGAATTCGAATTACAATATTGACGAGCCGAGTTAACTAACACTTCGTTTCGTTTATCAACTATGAATGAAGACCATCAACCTATAAAATAATGCTATTTGAACATCAAATGATTTGTGTCACACGTATTATGTCAAAAATTTATTACCCATTATGTTTGTGTAGCATAATTCTTTTACATATCACAGTCACCTTTAAAATTAGAGAAATGCTATATGTACATAATACTGTACATAGATGAGTACATAACACTCACATTAAGTGGGTCATACCAAAAATATAAAAATCAAGTTGACCTTACTCCATTTGAGTGTTATGTATACATTTATTATATATTATGTTCTTGGAGCATTTTTCTATGTAAAATCACACAAATGTATTATGTCAAAATTTATGTCATATATGGTCACGGGGACTGAAGATAATCTTGGTCTCCATGGAACTCTTATTCAGGCATTCGTGAGCTAGTAAGACAGGAGTGGTGTGTTCGTTTATTCCATATCTATCGGGAAGGGAATTTCTTCGGCCGATAAGTTAAATTCGCTAGCTACTGATGTTCCGGTTGATTATCACCGACTTTTGACCCCACCACAGGACCTTGGCCATTGGCTGAATCATGATGTCTTAGGTGTGGCTCACCCACGCTGTGTGACGCTCTAGTGTCCGTTAGGCTTAGGCCTCTTATCTTGTACCAAAAAAAAAAAAAAAAAAAATTATGTCATGCATGGTCGTGAAGTTATATGAAACTATTTCAGTAATTTAATGGACTTGAGGGACTGAAAGGAGAATAACCAAAGCTACACTTGCACTGATACACACCAATGAACAATTTTCTTCCACGAATAAAAAAGCGGGAAAAAAAGCCCTCTTTCTCTCAGAAGATATCGATTCAACTCGCAGCAATCAGCAATGGCGCCACTACTGCAGAGCTCTCAGCCATGGGTCGAGAAATAGTATGATTTTTTAATTCAGACCTTATTCTCTCTCACATATACGGATTCACCTTGTTCTTTCCCATAATTTTGCTCGGCGATTTCTCTCTTTCCATTTTCTTGTCGGCAATAGTTGTTGATAAATCTGTATTTGACAGCCGACCGAAGCAAGTGAAGGACGTCGCTCACCAGGACGAGGTCGTTCGAGTCCTCACCAACACACTGGAGACGACGAATGTAATTTTGTTTTGTGTTTTAATTTGATTTTTCGTTAGTTTTTGCTCAGTGTTTTTTTTATTCTCTCTCATTTTTCTTTTAATTATTGAATTTAGTGTCCGCACATGCTGTTCTACGGTCCTCCGGGCACGGGGAAAACGACTACAGCTTTAGCAATTGCACACCAGCTTTACGGGTAATTCTCTCTTTCTGTGTATGTGACCTTAATCTTCTTTTATGTGAGGTATGCTCACACAGACATATTGCAGAGACATTTTTTGTGTGCTCAATTCTGATAGTAGTGCTGTGGACGAATTTCATCACTAACTTGTTGTGATTTGGTCTTACAAGACCTGGCTGGAATTCTGGTTGTATCTGAGTACTAAAAGATGTTTGATGGTGTATATGGTTTCATATAGGTTCAGAAAGAAATTTTCCACGAGAAAGGAAATTTTGGAAAATTAAATTACATTTATATATGTATATGCTTAAATTCTACAACTATAAGTGCTTTTTTTTTTGCTCCTTTCGCCCTTCATTTGTTGCCAATTTTGTTTGTTTGTTTGTTCTAAAGCCAACGTCTATTGTTAGTTTAATACACTTTGGTTAGTTTAACTTAGTGACTTTGATATGTTTTCTGGACTTTCATTTGCTGAACTGGGACATTCTCTTCTATAGGCCTGAGTTATACAAGTCTAGAGTGCTCGAGCTGAATGCTAGTGATGATCGTGGGATCAATGTTGTCCGCACGAAAATAAAGAACTTTGCTGCCGTTGCTGTGGGTACTGTTCGCCATGGGTATGCATTAATTTCACTCTTATTTAGCATATACCTTGTCCCATTGTATGTGCATGTGCTTATTCGGGTGCCTTTGTTATTCAATATAGTGGTTATCCCTGCCCACCTTATAAGATTATAATTCTTGATGAGGCTGATTCAATGACTGAAGATGCTCAGGTGAGTATATTTTGTTTCTTCATACAGTTTTAGAATCGATACATTTCTTAATGGAGGCTTTATTTGTACCTTTTTCAGAATGCCTTGCGTCGCACAATGGAGACATACTCGAAAGTAACAAGATTCTTTTTCATCTGTAATTACATCAGCAGGTAGAGTCCCTGTCCTCCATTTTTCTCTATATATGCATGCTTGAGTGTGACTATGTGTGTGTGTGTCTGTTGCACTTAGAACAGAAACACGTGTTGCTAAACACATCACTATTCCTGATAATGTAATTTTCCCTAAAGAACTGTCGTATAGTCTGCACTTCAACTAGATTTCTTTCCAATCAGATACTTTTCTGGCGAAATGTTTGAATAAGTTGAAGCAAACAATTCTTTCACTAGCTGTGAGTTAACGAATCTGCAGTTGGTTGTAGGAGCAATGATCACTTTCTAAAAAATCGTCCTTTTTGTTTTAACTGAGGGAGTTTCCCATCCATAATATTGTAGGAGTATGAATTTATTTGTATACACAGCTGGATTTATCTGAGACAGGTGGAGAGTAATAAACAACATCGTGATAATAGATTTTAACAAGCATATCTGGAAACTCAGTAATCTCTGTGCTCGAGGAAAACACTAAAACATACCAATGGGGCATATAGGTTTGGACGGTTTCTTCAATTATATCATTGATATATTGATATTTTACCCAAGGTTGTTTTGATCGGATGTACTTCCTATAAATGGGATTGAATTTTCTGAGTTTGCATCTATTTTCCAGTTTAAGTGTTAAATTGTCTAGTACACCCTGAGAACTGGCTTGAAGTAATATTTTAATATGTGCAGAATTATCGAACCTCTGGCATCTAGATGTGCGAAATTCAGGTTCAAGCCGCTTACAGAAGAAATCATGAGTACTCGTATCTTATATATTTGCAAGGAGGAGGGTCTTAACTTGGATTCAGAGGTTTGGGTTGACATGCTTGACATTTAAAACTTGTTTATCTAATTACATGTGTTTGTCAGTTTGTCCATGCGATGGATTCTTTTTCCCGTTGATATATAATCTCATTGTTTGGTTCATTTGTAGGCTCTTTCAACCTTAAGTTCTATTTCTCAAGGTGACCTGCGCCGGGCTATAACGTATCTACAAGTAAGAAAAATCTATGAAAAATCAACTTTAGGAAGTTTAGAGTGAGTGTAAATGGTTCTCTATTTATACATATGGGTGTCATTAGTAGAACCTGGAGAGATGTCAAAGCTAATAGTTCGACCTTACACCGTCAGATTTATTTTTGTTTGACACATTACTGACAATTATTGAATATGTGGGAAACTAATGACACAATAAAATGTTTGTTCTGTGCCCTAAATCTAAAAAAGAATATCTCAATAGGTCCAATTTTACACCAGCATCTTGAATTTCTGCTCTGTCCACATCTTATTTTACTTTAGCATCACAGATAATCAGATTTTGCATTTGCCTTCTATTTCCAGGGTGCTGCTCGCTTATTTGGGTCTTCAATTTCATCCAAAGACCTAATTAGTGTGTCTGGTGTAAGTACTTCTCTTTTACTCTGGAATTGCCAATCGATTACATTGGATAATTTTCTGTAATCGAAGGTCTAAAATGCTTTGACACAGCTATCATATATTTACCATCTCAGAGCCTGTTATCACCAGTATTAAAACCCAACTGCTGCATAAGTTTTCGAATTGATCGTTTCACTTACCTCTATAAAAATATCTAGCTTCAGTTTGTTACGCGAGTGATTTTCTCTCCTTTACGAAATCAACATTCCAACAAAGTGTAATTAAATCAAATGCTCAGATAATAAAGAGAAAAGCTCATTTGCAGATGAAGGTAACTAAATCCAATGCTGCATAAGTTTGATTTTGCTTTTACATTTAGAACTTATATCTATCTACAGGTTCACCAACGGTAATTAGAAAATTTATTCAGTCTCTTCCATTTTCTTGGAAAGCCTTTTGACTCTTGGATCTTGTAAGCACACACTAACACCGGTTAAAATTTGTACAACCAGGTCATCCCTGAGGATGTCGTGCAGGCTCTATTTTCTGCTTGCAAAAGTGGCAATTTTGACACAGCGGATAAGGAGGTTAAGAATGTAATTGCTGAAGGATATCCAGTCTCCCAGATGCTATCCCAGGTCTGGTTGATAATTCACTATTTGATTATTTGCCTTGTTTTCTTCATGCTAAATGCTGACTCGGTTTATTCTCAGTTGTATGATGTGCTTGTGGAGTTAGATGATATAGCAGATGACCAGAAAGCAAGAATATGCAAGAAACTGGCCGAGACAGATAAGGTGAGAATTTTTTTATTAGTCATTTTTCATTTTATACAATTTGTGAAACACATAGTTTCTCATCTGAAGGGCACACCATGTCAATCCTCTGCCACTCCATTAAAACTGGACACCAAAGTTAATCGGACACTGCAGTTATTAGCTGAATCATTTTTTTTCTATAATAATGTGGTAAAAGCTTGAAACACTCAATTCAGAGGAAGAAACACATCAACTTATACTATTTCTGTGGCATTTGCAGTGTCTTGTGGATGGAGCAGACGAGTATTTACAACTTTTGGATGTCACAAGCAACATAATGCGTGCAATTCATAACATGCCTCATGAATTTTCCTTTGGCGGTTAGGCGTCCAAGTCCTTGATTAACATTCTGTTTAGCGTAAAAAAAAAAACACGACAAGTTAGGGATTTCATGGTGGAAGTTAATCTCCCACTTGTTGTTTTGTCTATTCATGAATGTTTTGTATGTTTGACATTCCGTAAGTTGCTTAATCCTTGGAGGATTTTGTTGTGCAATGAAATTGGTTTTAACCATTGCTTGATGTGATTAAGTTGCTTTTCCCTGTGTTATTTCTCATGCGTAATCTTGTCGTATTATTACATTTCCTCAGTAAAATATAACCCTAATGAAAAGCCAAAGCATGATATAGGTAATTATTCTGGCTTGCAAAAAGTCGTGTCTTCTTTTTCAAGGCGCCATTTTTCTCTTCACTCTGTTGCAAAAAAATCCGTTTTCTGCATCCATTGTAGGACCATACGAAGGCTACACTTTCACCCGCATGATCTTTTTTTGTCTCTTCTCATGTTGTTGAAATTATTATCTTTGTCACTATCTGCGTGTGTAGATGAAACTTAACTTGAGGTGTAGAACATTGCAAGAGAAAAAAACTCTCAAAATTTGATGGGTAGTCGTATTTGAATTTGATTGGATTATTGAATTGAATTTGTCTTTATTTGTAAAATCCACCCCAATTCGCCATAACCATAACATATATGAAGCTGAGCAAAACATCGAGCTGACATTTCCAATTTGAATTTAAATTTAACAAAATATCAATCAACTTCATCAATTTTGTTTTGGCAATCAACTAAATTGGCGGCCCTACTTTGTTAACCACCAATTACTATTGACTAAATTTATCCATGCAAAACATGAATGATCCAAACTTCCAACACGGGCCTACCAATCTCTCCCACTTCCTACGCCTTTGATCAAGCCTAGACTTGAACAACACCCAAAAAAAATATAAAATAAATAATAAAAATAAAAATAAAAGTAAAATCTATTAATACCACACACACACACACACACACACAAACTCCACTTTGCATCAACAAAACACAAAACAAGCATTTGAAACTTCATAAAGGCCATGCACACAGATGATTCCTTCAAGAAACCCGGATCCATACCATTCAAGTGGGAGATCCGACCCGGTGTACCCAAGATCCAACCCGAAAACCCATCACTGGGCCCCGCTCGATTTGATTCTAGTGCCGAAAATCGAAGGCCCAAGCTCTACCGGAAACAACTCAAACCTCCACCAGCCGGATTCAACTTCCGGCCCCATTTAGAGGCCCGGCCCAGCCCAACTCAATCTCCCTTGGGCAATGTATCCCGTCGTTTGGGCCCGTTCGGCCGGGCCCAACCTGATATTGTGTCATCATCAGGGTGCTTCCCTGCATCGCCTTTGGTGAAGCGGAAAAACAAGAAGGTGCAAGGCCCGGGCCCAAGATCAAAGCCCGAGCCCGGATACTGTTCGGATCCTGATATCCCATCTAGGTGGTCGGTTTCCAGTAGGAAATCGACCACTACAGCTTCTCCATTGTCTTCTTCAATGGCTTCTTATCAATCGTCACCTCGGCCAGTTAGGGATGTCGATTGGGCGGGCTTCGGGCTATTTTAGAGTAATTACTATAGATTATTTATGCAAGCTAAATAAGTTTGTTTTGTCAATTTTGGATCATGCTATGTTACTTGAACACCAGAACTGCGTATTTTGGACATTTGCACATGAACTTTTGCTGTTGATAAGAGAGATATAATTATAGAGTTTAGATGTATCTCTATTCTCAACCTACATACCAATGCAGAGTGATTTTTTGCCTTTTGTAATTCTACTTGTCAATTTTTAGTGGTTTGAAAAGTTTATGTAGATTTTGACCTATATCCATACACATTAAGATTTTTAATATTATAAAATACATGGTAAATTTAAATTAAGATGTATTTTAAAAGTTAATAACTTTTGTAAGTGATATTAATTTTTTGTACATGATACATAATATTAATCATCTCTTCACCAGGTTCGATTTGACATCCATATTCTATGTAAAGGATTTGATATCCATATTATATGATATATAAAATTAATCATTTCGTAAGTGATATTAGTCTATTTTATGATATGAAGTAACGAAATTGTTATATTATGTAAGGGTTAAGACGTACGCAAATAAAATTATAATTTTCAATATAGATAATAATAATGTATTCTTTTAAGAATTATTTAAAACTTAAATCAAATAATTTTATTTTTGTTAAAAGATTTGAGTACAAATTTGTTATTAGCACTTGTGCTCCACCCTACTAGTTGATACTGAAATCAAGTTATAAGCTTATATTAAAAAGTTTAAGTGCATATTAAACTTTCTCTATATATGATCTACAAAATTAAGAACTTGCTGATAGGCAAGACAAATAGCGAACCACACTTATCAGACATCCCTCCCTATATATTAATTGAGAACGTGCAGAGTCTATGTGGCAGACTCGCATGCTTCGGGATCCTATGTGGCAAAAATACATGCTTCGTTATTAGGCTTGGGTAGATTTAGTTTACTTCTAATCCAAATATATTTAGGTTCGGATTATCTATAATATGTTGATTATTTATGGTAAGGGTGGACGCCGGCCGGGACGGTCTTGAATTAATTTGACTTGTCCGGATACTCATCCCACTTTTATGAATGCGTCCATGAACGAGGCACCGTCGTCACCCATATAATACATGAGTGTTGTACTAGTTAAACCTTAATAAGAAAAGATAAGTGGTGTATAAAGTATTAATGGATGATTGAGTAACCACTCCCTAAAAAATTGGCCCGTTGACTTCTTTTAACTGGCAAATTCTTGCATCAGTGTTCGAATCAAAAACCAGGTCGATTGATGCCACTTGATGTTTTAAATCACACACTTTTAACAATTCTTAAGTTTTCGTTTTTAAATAAGAGCAATGATAATAATTAATTAAAAAAAATAAATTGGCGTATTTCTATTTGGCAATTTCTGTATGCATCATTTGAAAGTCAAAACTATCACTTGCGATTGCTTGATTATGTAAACTATTAATTAACATACGAAAGAAGGTTTGGTCATCACTAATTTGATATAAATTTTAAAAAAAACTACGTTAATTGAGTTATGATATGGTCTAATTATTAGACGATCTATCAATTAAAGTGCATTAAGATGATATTTAGGGGGATCCAACTGCTAAACACTCATATTTTTTCAATACGCACATATTCAAAATTTATATTTTTTTATTAAAAAATATAATGAGTCAACTCGCTCAACACAAGAATTTCTACTTGAAGTGTATAAAACCCAATGTTAAATCACATTTTTTTTTTCATATAAAATATTAGAACAAAAAACTTAGAGCCTCTCCAACCCGTCGCTACTTCAGTGTAATTGCGCTAAATTAGCGCAAAATCTCCCTCCAATCCTGCACCAGAATCCTGCGGCAAAATAGATAAATGAATAGTATTGCGCCATGATAGGTCGAAAAATGTGCATGTTTTATATATTTATAGTGTATTTTTATACGCTCAGTTTATTCGCACGTTTATGTTTTTTGACTTATTTATTATTTAGATGAATTTATTTGTTTTTATATTTTTATGGTTTATTTTCAGCATATTTAATTATTTTTGCAGGTGACCAATACTAGAGAATAAAGAGCCACAATGGATTATGTGGGTTCGGATATTTGACCATTATTGAAGGCTTAATTAATTAACAACAAAATTAAGTTCAAGCTAATTGGGCCCATGAAGAATTTGTAGCCCAATTTAAATTTGAAGTTATGTTATGGCCATAGAGACACGTGAGCAGATGGGAGAATTGGATATTTGGCATGGAATTATTTGTGAAGAAAGAAATTAAAGGGCATTACGGGCGCAGCCATTATACATACCGGGGAGAATAAAAATTCACATTACTCACGCATAGAAAAAGCCGCCACACGCCACGCAGAGAAAATAAAAAGAGCCGCATATCAGAGAAAAAGAACGGACGCACACACTTGGAGACGAGGAGCCCAACGAATTGCGGAGGGAGGCCGCACCGCACACGAGGGAGATAATTAATCTCTCTCTTTTATCTTTTTATTTATTTTTATTATTATGTTAGAGTAATTTTTATTTCTAGTTCCGGTGATGTTGAACCTTACGACTTGACGATGTTTGATTGATTTTCTTGGTTGATTATTGAGTTATCTTTTTGGAATTGTTTGTGTTATTTTGAATAATTCACCATGATGTGTTAGTCTTATTTAGATTGATCACCTAGATTAGGCTTTTCATATCTACATCTGAGTTAGACCTGCAATCCGTAATTGTTGTTGTGTTTAATTCATAAGAGGTAACCGGAAGATGGTAACTACCGGGGATAACACGGCCTATTTAAGTGAGCGAACGCGGTTGAGTTCACTACTTAGTCTAGCCTATTTTTCTAATTCGTAAAGCGGCT